AAGTATAATGCTGTCTGTGATTCTCAGGTATATTGGTCTATTAAACAGTCCTAGTGACTGAAGTTAGGATAGTACAACTTTAAAGCAGTAATATTTTAAGCTGAGACAGAAAACTCTATCTAAAATTAACTGCAAACTGCTGGGAGGTATGGTTGTTAAAACATATGCAGTCTAATAGTACAAAATTTTATATCACACAAGTAGAAATACAAACTATTGTATGAAAATACAAACTAAAAATGTAAACTCAGGAAGCTTTATTTGACACTACTATGTATGGAACATGTTCTTGAGGTTCTGAGGAAGGAGAGAGCTGTCCTGCACATTTGTACATGGTATTCTTAGAAGAATGGAGAAAAGATTGAAGTTGTCAAGGACTTCATTCTTCTTGGATCAACTATCAACACTCACAGAAGCAGCAGTCAAAAGATCAGACGACGTATTGCATTGGGCAAATCTGCTGCATAGGAATTTTTTAAAGTGTCGAAGAGCAGAGATGTCAGCTTGAGGACCAAGGTGCGCCTGACCCAAGCCATGGTATTTTCAATAGCCTCATATGGATGCGAAAGCTGGACAGTGAATAAGGAAGATCGTAGAAGAATTGATGCCTTTGAGTTGTGGTGTTGGAGGAGAATACTGAAAGTGCCATGGACTGCCAAAAGAACCAATAGATCTGTTTTGGAAGATGTGCAGCTAGAGTGCTCCTTGGAGGCCAAGATGGCTAAGCTTCATCTCTCATACTTTGGACATATTGTCAGGAGGGAACAGTCGCTGGAGAAGGATGTGATGTTGGGTAAGGTGGAGGGTCAGAGAAAAAGGGGAAGACCCCTGAACGAGATGGATTGGCCAGATGGCATCATTGATGGACTCAAGTGTGGCAGCGGTAGTGAGGTTGGCCCAGGATCGGACATTGTTTCATTCTGCTGTGCATGGGGTCGCTATGAGTCGGTTCTGACTCGATGGCACCTGACAACAACAACAATTCTTAGAAGAAAGGTGAGCAATGGTGCTTTTATTTCTATCAAAGTAGAACATGAGATTGAAATGGAAACATTTTTCTAATGAATGAAAAATGAAAGGCATACTTTAAAAAGAGCATGCATTATTTTAACACAAACAACCCCCCAAAAAAGGAAAAGAAAAAAAGAGATAGCAAAAAAGGTAATATTTTTATTTTAAGTTTGTTTAAGAAAATAAGTCTCTGAAAGAAGTAAGGAGAACTATGCACATATATAAAATCTCTTTTTTTCCCCCGTAGGACTTGTTAATATTTTTGAAGAATGTCTTAAAATATATACAAAAGTTATCTAAATTAACTGTAATTAGTGTTTGTGGAAATTGAATTCTCTTTAAAAACTAGTGCCTTGGTGGTACAGTTAGCATACTTATCTGTTAATCAAAAGATCAGAGGTTTGAGTCTGGTTCAAGTCTACTGTGGAAGTAAGGCCTGGCCATCTACTGAAAAATTAGCCACTGGAAATCCTATAGAGCATTATTTCATCTGGGATCACACATGGAGTCTCCATAAGCTGGAATCAACTCAAGGACAACTAGTTTTAATAAAGTTAGGTGATATTTGTTACTAAAAGTTGCAAGATTTTTTAAAATCAATAAATAATTCTATAGAGTAAGCTCAAGGTGTGAGCTTCCTATTAATCTCTGAGGAAGTTTATATCCTACCATAATCTTGGCTTTAGACTCTCTTTATGCACCACGTCATAATTCCCTTTACCTTACCTCATCTCTAGCCACTGATGCTGTGACCAGTGTCTTGCAGATGCAACTAAGCAGTGCCTCACCTCAGTCATGCCTAATACCTGTAGTTTTATGCCTAACTCCATGGCATGGAGCAACCTCAGCAATCAAATCTGCATTTGTACACACACACAACCAGTGAAGAAAATCCTTTCATCCCCTTGGGAAGACAGTTCTGAGATATATTTCATAAGACTCTTCAGTTTGTCCTGGCAAGACTGGACACCCATCTGTGGTAGCAGTGTGCAATAGGCTAAGAATTTCTTGTAGTGCCTTTTCTTCCTTCCCTGTTTTGCTTCACCTATCCTGTACTTCTTGGGATCACATGTCCAAATAAACTGCCCAAAGCCAAGTTTTTGTTTTAGGTCCTGCATTTTGAGGAACCAAGGAGCTCTGGTAGCATAGTGGTTATGAATTGGGCTGCAGTTTGAAACCACCAGCTGTTCTGCAGGAGAAAGATGAGGCATTCTGCTCCCATACAGATTTACAGCCTCGGAAACCCTGTTCAAGGTCGCTATGTGTGAGAACCAACTTCGTGGCACATCACCACCACCGCCACCACCACCAGGAGTTGGCTATTCGATAAGCACTGGACTACTAGCCACAAAATCAGCTGTTCAAAGCCACCTGCTACTTCTTGGAAACCCAATACAGGGTCACTATAGTTGCAACTGACTGAACAATGCTTAACAGCAACTAAAGGCTTAGTCTTTCCCATGTTAAACAAGGTTTCCTCCTCTGCCTCTGTCTCTACTCTGAGATACTGCTTCCCTGATATAATATTTACTAGATCTTTTTTATTTAGATAATACTATTGTACAATAAAGCATAGTATGTATTTAATTACTATAGTTTATTTATATAATTAGTGGGTCTTGGAAACATTTCAAGGCCTAAGTCCTCTAAATAGAACAGAACTAGTAATAGCAATGTTGACTTTGGATTATTTCAACTTCTAAATATCTAACAGAAACCAAATCAAATTTGATCAAGAGATCACACAAAAGAATTATTCAGCTATTTCATGGCTAAGAACAATTCCCTAGGCGTGATGAAAAAAAAAAAAAGAGTTAATATTGGAGCTATCTATTATATTTCCAAAAAGCCAGCATGAGAAACCTCATGCATACTCTACATTACAAAATAATTATTTATTAGTTAATAAAAAATTTCAAGGGAAAATAAAATAAAACAATCAAGAAAGGACAAAGACTTTCCTTCTTGCATTTCTCTTGTTTTCTCCAGTTCAATCAGAATAAGCTGCTACTACCAACTATCCAAACACAATTCTCTCAATATTTGTTATGCTCAGGTGTAAAGAAATTTTTATCCTTTAATCTGAATAAAAATAGACTTCTAGTTTTTACTGAAATCCCACTAATAAACAAAGATAAAATAAACTAAATATTGGAGGCAGGTAGATAATATTCTAAAACATGTGGTCTCCGTGATTCTATACTTCAATCCCATTTGACTTAGATGAAAAAAGTGTATTCACTCTCAGATCTCAAGAAGAAGTTAGTTTTTACCATCATAGTTCTTCACACTGAATGACTTAAGTCCTTTCAGAATCTGCTATTTATTTGTAAATTAAATTAGTAATCTCAACAACATTTCCTGAATCTTTTTGTTTGTTTGCTGTGTGTTTTTGCCTATTTGTTGTGATGGATGAAGAAGTATCTACTGTTGGTATTAATTTCAGGTAGGCAGGACTCTGTTCCTTTACCATTATTGCTTTCACAACTTCTTGGGTCTCTGGTTCTCTCTTTATAGAAAAGGTGCTTCCTATTTAATCCTTAAAGGTTATACATATATTTTCCCCCTGTATTTATTCCTTAAAGGTTATATTTTATTTTCCCCCTGCATGTTGGACTTTTGTTTAAAGCTCTGAAATTTCCCATCCTTCTCAGCACATATTAATGAGTTATTCCGTTTACATGAAACCTCTATTTATACAGTTAAATCCGGTACCACACTCTGGGAACGTTTCCTTCCCCCCCCCCCCCCCACCCCCCCAGCGGTTCAGCCCCCCCCCCCCCCCCCGTACTTGAAATAGTCTAGGCATCTCCTTTAAATAGTGGCTGTAAGACCTTGAGGGAAGGTATACCATTTTCTACAATATGATAAAAAATCCTGGGATTTTTCATGCATTGTAAAAATTGTGCCACTATATCCCAAATCATTGTTTAGAAAATAAAAACAATATCACCTAGAGTTCATGTATTACTATGCCTCGGCACAGAATCTGAGTTCTACACTATATCTTGAGTCTAGAAAGGAGCGATATCCATGGCTCATTACTGAGACAACAGAGCAATGACCTTGAAGAGGCTTATAACCAGAGATCGATAATATAAAATTGACTTTTATAGCCATGATCACTGACAGAACAGGGTCAGAATTTCTATTGTAAAAAAATAATTAACTGGCGTTGGTTGAGACCAGCAGGAGTGTTGACTCTAGGAGTTTTTACAAGGATGAAATCAGTCAAAAAGTGTTCTAAGTTTCGGAGTCCTGGTGTGGTACTGTTAGTATAAACACTGAACTTCTGACTACAAGGCTGGTGGCTCAAACCCAATACAAGATTGCTATGAGTCAGAGCCTACTCAACAGCATTTAACAACAATCATTGAAGTTTAGGAGCTTCTCATCTTTTCCTTTGGAGTCATTCTGAAAATTGTAGATAATGCTTTCTTTTCATATTCCCCCATCTACAAGGAAGCATCAACCCTGTGTTCAATTGTAAGACTTCTACAGACTGGTTAATAACATAGTGACTCTACATTTAGTTTAGAAATTTCCCTCTCATCAAATAATCTCCAGCTCCCATTTTTCCCTTAAACACAAAAGCAAATGCATATTTATATCTTAGCAATATTGCTATTGCCCACTCATTGCCTTTATGGTGGACCAGTTTCATTTGTTCTTGTTTGTTCTCCAGATGGAAACATCCCACTCCACTTTACATATGTTCAGTGTATGTTGTGCCAAGTGCATTCATATACATTATCACATATAATTTATTCAATCATTGCCAGGGATGAAGAGCAGATAATATTAGTGCCATTTCAGGGAGGGTAATTACCATGTTTTTAAATTTGTGAGACCTGTCTTATCCTTTCTGTCCAAGGATAAATGTTTTTGACAGATAATCTACCAACATGAAATGTTTCTAACACTAGCCAGTTCGCTCATCAGCCACATCTATCTAGCATTTCTTTCTCATACTCACCACCACAAGATTATCAGACAGGTTTCTGACCAGGGCCAATGGTTAAGGGGTCCTTCCTTCGACACCCATATTTTGTCACTTTTTCCCGAAACTCTTTGGTTTTCACTCCATAAACAATAGGATTGAGCATTGGTGGTATAAGAAAGTAGAGATTGCCAAGAATGGTGTGGACATGGGGTGGAATGCCTTGGCCAAAGCGGTGAGTAAGAAATGAGAAAAGTGAGGGTGTGTAAGAGATAAGCATGACACATATGTGTGTGGTGCAGGTGTTGACTGCTTTGTGGTGAGCTTCCTTAGAAGAGAGACGCATTATAGCCTGAATAATTAGCACATAAGATGAGCCAATAGCTGAGAGGTCAAGCCCAACAACCAGCATGGCTACTACCAGACCATACATTCGGTTGACTGTGGTGTCCACACACACCATCTTCACCACAGCCATGTGCTCACAGTAGGTGGTAGGGATGACACGGTTGATATGAAAGGGCATCTGCTGGAGGAGAATGGGCATGGGGAGAATGAAGAGAATAGCTCTCACCAAACTCACCAGACCAATAAGCCCAATGCGACTATTGGAAAGAATGGTGGCATAACGTAGGGGCTCACAGATTGCAACATAACGGTCAAAAGCCATGGTCATCAGAACAGCAGATTGCATGACAGAGATGGAGTGGATGAAGAACAGCTGGACCAGGCAGCCCTCAAAGCTGATCTCACTCTGGCCAAACCAGAAGATACACAGCACTTTAGGAATGGTGGTTGTAGACATGCCCAGGTCTGTGAAGGCCAACATGCAGAGGAGCAGAAACATGGGCTTGTGCAGGGAACGCTCTGTGGAGATAATGAAGAGGATGGTGCAATTCCCAAGGATGGTCATGAAGTACAAGGAAGAGAAAGGAATAGATATCCATTTGTGTTTGTCCTCCATCCCAGGAATTCCTTGAAGAATGAAGAAAGGAGGGTGTCCCTGGGTAACATTGCAAGCAGTCATGGTGGCACTCTGGTTTTATTGAGAGGAGCAATATAAAGACACTACATGAGCTTCAATTCAAAAAAAGCAAGAGTAACCTAATGGAAAAATTAAAGTTGTAATGTTAAGATAATAAAAAGGATTCTGTATTAAGATTAGGTGAGGGTTAGTGTTAGAGATTGGGCTAAGACTATGTTTAGGGTTTGCTTTAATATATGGGTTAGTGTTAGAGTTAGGGTTAGTGTTAGGCTTAGACAAATATTATACAAAAAGACAAATTATTGTATACAACCACTATTATAAAAATTTTAAAAAGGCTTTCACACAAGAAGAAACATTCTTTGAAGGTTACCAAGAGTGGAAGAGCAAGGGAGGCTACACATTTATTTACTTGGGTGAAGAGGACGGCAATATATAAAACTTTACTTACTTACTAAGTGCCATCGAGTCAGCATCTGACTCATAGCAACCTTGTACAGGGTTTCCGAGGAGCAGCTGGTGAGCTTGAACCACCAGCCTTTCAGTCCAAGCCGACTTTGCAATCCAGTGCATTAACTGACAGCACCACACCAAGACTCCATATATATGAGACAGAGGTCAGCAAAAAATAATGAAGGCAAAGGAAAACACTGAGAGACAACAGAAGTAAATATTATTACATACACAATCCTGCAATGACAATAATCTATGAGCGAATGCATAGATATGAATAGATGTGGAAAGATGGATAGATAATGAAGCTATACCAAGGAATATATATAGTTTTGACCAAGGGCATTTCTATGTATGTATCTACCTATGCTGCAAATATACATGTAGATATAGTAGAGCATGTAGGAGGCACAATTAGGAAAACTTCTTAGACAGAACCAAGCACCTTGAGGGATGAATCAGTAGGTCTGGAGGTTCAAGACCATAGTTTTAGAGGAGACTAAGGTCAACTGGTATAACATAGTTCACAAAGACAATGCTTTAAATCTTACATTGTAGAGTAGTGATTGGGGTCACAAAGCTTATATGTAGACATCTATGGTGCAACTATTCATCTCTTCTTGTCCAGAGCAAAGAAGAATGTAGAAAATTGAAGAAATGCAATTTTGATGAAAGCAATTAATCCAATGGATGAATATACAACATGAGCCTCAGCCTCCACTACGTTGAGGCCAGAACTAGATGGTACCCAGTTACCACTATCAACCACTCAAAAAAGGGTAATATTAGAAGGTCCTGGGTAGAGTGGGAGAAAAATGTAGAACAAATCCCAAGATCATTTTAATAAAAGAGCAGGCTTGAACATGACTCAAAATCATAGGGAAAAAAACAAACAAATAAACAAAACTGGCCAGATATAGACTGGTAGAATCTCCAAGACTATGGACCTTCCATCAACGTAAAGGAGTGGGACTGAATTCAGCCTTATGGCACAATTTTCAGCCAATCAACAGTCAGCCCTGTGAATTAAACAATAACACTAGTGAGGTATGCACTCCTTAGAATAATCAACCATTTCAAATCAAAAGAACTGCTTTTGCCCAAGGACAAAGTTCAGAAGGCAGGAAGAGGTAGTAAAGGTGGAGAAATGGAAACAAAGATGTAAGGAACAAGGGAGGTAAATGACATTACAGTGAGATGATTGCAATCAATGACATGAAACAATATGTGTTTGAATGTTGACTGAAAAATTGCTTTGCTCTGTAAAACTTAACCCATTCACTATGTTGTTGTTAAGTGCCGTCGAGTCGGTTCTGACCCATAGCAACCCTGTACAGGGTTTCCGAGGCTGTAAATCTTGACGTGAGCAGAAAACCTCATCTTTCTCCCGTGGAACAGCTGGTAGTTTTGAACTGCTGACCTTAAGGTTCACAGACTGATTCGTAACCACTACGCTACCAGAGCTCCTTAACCCATTCACTATAAAAGTGTTTTGTTTTTTCAATCATTTTGAAAACATTGTTAAAACCTAGAAAAATCAAACTATCCCATAATATTAATTCACAAAACATTATAAAACAAAATATTCACAACTGTTATTATAATAGATATTCTTAACCTAATAATTAAGTAAGTTTGAGCCTAAGGGAGAGTGTAGTATAAAATACCTTGCCAAAAAAGGAGTTTAGGTAGCTACATTAATATCTGAAAGAATATATTTACAATGAACATTTTATTAAGAATAAGCTGTTCGAAAGGAGAGAAGTGATTGGCTTTGCGTCCAGGAGCAGAGGTCCCTGGGACCATCAAGGGAGAAGAGCGGCGTGCCGGACCATACCCAAAGAAGCAGTGAAGCCGTTGATGGAGGTAGAGACGATGATGTGGACAGATGGAGTGGCTAGGGACTCTAGATCGAGAGAGGGAGTGGGGATGTGTGCTGATGACCAGGGGTCTACCCCTGGCTTGCAGGATCTACCCTTTGGTTGGTTGATGATGCATGGAGGGGATTGTAACCATGACAATGATACGATATAAGTTAGAATGAATGCAAAGCTAATGTTCTCCCATGTAAACTATCACATAATTCACAATAAAACATTAAAAAAAAAAAAAAGCTGTTTAATTATTAATTAGTTAAAATATACCACTAAATAGATAATATATTAAATATGAATTTATATCCACTTAACTAATGTAAGTTTAAATATGTGAAACAAAAATTGACAGAATTTTTTAAAAATTAACAAATTTTGACATAGCTCTCTCATAAACCAAAAGATAAAATAGGTCGAAGATAATCTTTAGAAAGATGCAGTCTAGATTTAAATCATATAGAATTAAATGTTTATATAGAATCCAGCATTCTAAAGTTAGATAATACTTTTGTAGCAGATACAGAGTTTTAACAAAAGTTATGATTGTATTAAAACCCAAACTCCTTGCCATGCAGTCATGAGAATTATATTAAGCTACAAAAATATTCAATATATTCCATAAATAAATATCATAGGGTTTACTTGACAATAACAAGAAAAAGGACAACCAAAGGAAAAGAAAGAAAGATGGCAAGCAATAGATGCTGATGATAGTTGCACAAGATGATTGATGTGATTAGTTTTATTGAACTGTATACGTGGAAATATGTTCTCTATATTCTTACAATAAACAACTAAAAACTAAAGGCAAGGGAAAAAGGAAAAGACTTATACAACTGAAGCATATCCTTTGATTAATAAGAAAAATGATTGAACACAGATTGAAAAAAAATCTTAATATAAACTTTGATACCAGTCTAACACCCAAAATCATCTCACCTCTATTTTCAGATAATATACATTTGTGAATCAACTTGTTTTATGGAAATAATAACTGATGAATCTAGAGAGGATGCCTGTACCATCTAAGTAATTATTTTATTTAAATAAGCAAACAAAGCACCTTATCTTAAAACAAAATTGATGTATTTATGATGTGGTGAATGATGTGGTGAATCCTGCCTGAATGTTTCAACACCTTCCCAATTATGTATACTGAAAATTCAGTCTGGGACTTGGTCCTGTCCTATCCAAGTAATGTTCCCTCTAACAGCCAAGCATTTGTGTTCTTCTGAAGTCCTAGCCTATTGTTGATATTGTTGTTGTTAAGTGCCATCAAGTCAGTTCTGACTTATAACAACCCTGTGTGAGGTTTCTGAGTCTGTAAATCTTTGCAGGAGCAGAAATCCTCATCTTTCTCCCAGAGACTGACAACCTTGTGGTTTGCCCTCCCTGGATGTCTTTTTTCCCTTAACTGTACATACTTTGGAGAGGAGAAGCTGGTCCCAAGCATGGATAAGTCACTGGAAACTTTCCTCAATTTCTCCAAGGCACAATGTCAAGATTCAAGACCTGAAAAAATTATGACCTTGATGAGAAATGTACAGCATGAACTAAGAAGGAAGACATCAGTGGGAAACTGGATACATGACATTCAAAGAGTACAGTTCCAGGATGTCAACATAAAGCCCTCCCTCACCCAGAACCACTTACCCGAATGTGAGGCTGTGAGTGAATGGGAGGCTAGAGTCAGACACCTTCTGCAAATATGTATGTGTGAGTGTGTGCACATGTATATAGGTATATCTTAGTAAGCACCCATATGGTCCCTGCAGAATACACTCACAGTCCTGCATCGCTCCACTCTTCACCTTTGAGCATACAGAACCCATGGTATGACCCTTTAAGTAACCTAAGGAAAGGTCCCCAAGGTGTCCAGAATTAGCTCTTTGAATTCCCATCCCACCAACAAAAATACCACTGCTATTATGTGTACAAAATTCTCTGGAGATGGCCCAGAGCCTCCAGGAGCTAGAACTGGTTGGCCTTAGGGATTCTGAGCATGTTCCAGACTTTGACAGTCCAGAAGGAGCCTGAGGAGAAGAAGAATGCAATTAACACCGAGTCTGGGACTAGCTTGAGGTATGGCAGATTGGGCATCCCACAAGCCCTCACTCTTGTTTGTAGATGTGTCAGAGCTTGGGAGTGATTTCCTCCATATCAGAGATAATCATACCTGTGACATAATCAGAAAGCCATTTCTGTCAATGATAGTGTAGTTTCAGATCATTGGCTTTTCCTAGCCTCTTTTTTACAACTGTCTTAATGTGTGTTTTTGTTTCTTTTTTGTCTTGTGGCTTTGACTCAGACATTTCCCAGGACATTTTCTGCAATCTACCAATTCCTTTGGTGTGTTGTTGTAGGATCAGCACTGGACTTCGAACCACTGAGGCGGCAGTTCAAACCCACCAACTGATCCTTGGAAACCCTATACAGATTCACTATAAATCAGAATTGACCCAACGGCACTTAACAATAGCAATAGCATAAACCATATTCCCTAACCTCCCTTTTTTGACCTCAAGATACCCACAATTCCTAAATCCAAATGTGACCAAATTCATTTTCTTATAAACTCAGAGGAAACAAGCTATTAAAGTTAGTCAACAGTACTTTGCAGGCCCACTGCAAAATGTCCAAAACAAAATAAAGCAGTCACAAATTCATGTGAAGTCATTGGAAGCAGTGTTCATGGAATCAGATTCAAAATCCTAT